GCTTGGAAAGTGATGATTCCCCAACTCCTCCTATTTCCTCTCCCTGCCCAGCCTGGCAGCTCCCTGAGGGCTGGACATACAGCAACCCAGTTTACTGCTTGGGAAAGTGAATGAATGAATGAATGAATGAATGAGTCACGCCAACCTCAAAGGAGGTTGGACCTTTGGAGCCCAGGGCAGGCTGTCAGGTCCAGATGGAGGAAGGACATCCCACTCGCCTCCTCCATCTACCCCAGGAAGGGGGCTGGTACCTGCTGGCCTCAGATGTTCCTGACTCCAGGACTCTGCAGAACCAGCCCAGGACCCAGGATGGGGGTGGCTGGGCTGGCCCAACAGCCCCACCCCTCACCAGGGCCAGGGTGGGTGCACTGGGTGCTGTCAGCCTTCCTGCCCTGCTGCCCCCACCCTAATCGGCTGTTAGAGGTATATTAAAGATGGGTTTCACACAGGGTTTTAATCTCACCTCATATATCACATATGCCATGTCCTCAAGCCTCTTTCTCATCTGGTGCTGCACTTGGGGGTGTTGTGCAGAGATGGACCAGGGGAGAGGCAGGAGATCCAGGGAGGGGTGGGGAGGGGTGGGGCTGTGCTGTGGACTTCCCAGACATGCCTGTTGGTGACTGTGTGAATCTGTCATTGTGATGGGGGCAGGGTGGGAGTCTCTGCATGTCGAGGATGCTGGAGGTCTGTGTACAATCATGTATGTGTGCATGTATGTGTGTCCCTGTGTGTCTTGGCGTGCATGAGTGTGGATGGAGTCGGGGGTGGTGGAGAGCGTTCAGGAGTTGGGGGCATGTCCACTTTCCATGGGCGTAATCGTCCCTGGGCCTTCCTGCACATTCCTGCTTCCTTCACTGTGAAGATACTTTCTGGAGCTGACAAGGCCATCGCATTCCCTGCTCTCCTGGAGCCCATCAGCTGCTCACTGGGGCTGGGGCTGGTCTGGCTGGGAAGACATCAGAGGCAGGCACCCCCTTCCTCTCCATCTCCCCCCACATCTCTCTCTGTCTCTAACACACACACACACACACACACACACACACACACACACACACACACATGCCTCCAGGAGGTGTGAGTCAGCGGCAGCCCCTGGCTGGGGTGGGGAAAGGCAGAGATGAGGGAGGACAGCAGGGCCATCTGTTGTGTTCGGTTACAACAATCTGCGAATGCAGCCTCTTCCCAGACTAGCACCCAGGCTGGGCTGGCCTTCTCCGCCCTGCAACCTGGTATCTGGGCCCAGACATAGCGAGACTCACAAGTTCCTAACACCCTTCTCTTGGGATACTGTCTGGGCAAGAAGGAGCGACCCTGTTTTCTAGGTGCAGAAACCGAGACCCAGACCCATCCTCTGCCCAATACAGCATCCCAACTCACGACTAGAACAGCAGGACTTTATTTAATCACTTACTGCAGGGCAAGGCTAATTGTGCACTAGCTCATTTCGTCTTGCCAGCAGTAAAGGGCACAGGAATTGCTCTCTCCCATTTTACAGATGTGGAAGTGGAGGCTGGGGGAAGTTATATAACCTGCACCAGGAGGTCAAAGGCCACTTAATGAATGCCAGAGCCCCGTCAGCATCCAGGTCCTCCTGACTTCCATACATCTGCCTCTCACCCTAAGCTGGCTGAATCCCAGATCTCTCCCATCCCCCACCCTGCTGAGTTCCGGGCACGGACCCTGTTAGTACCCCAGAAGCATATATGAATGATGTGGAAATCTGGAAGCTTGGGCAAGGACACAAATATAGGACTCCCCCAAACTGCTTTTTTGAGTCTCATCCATGCTGCCCAGGACCTCTGGGCTCTCTTTCAGGGACCCCATCAACGAAGAGTGTTTCAGTGCACTGGGAGGAGGAAAGGGAGCCGGCAGGCTGCCTGCAGGGTGATCGTGATGTATTTAGCCCCTGGCCTCTCTCCCTGACAGGGACAGTGGCGGGGTGCAGGGGTGAGCTGGGACAGGAAGTGCCCCCCACCCCGCCCTCCCTGGGGCCAGCACCTGCCTGCCCCACCTCTCCTTCCACCACGTGCCGGTCTGCACGCCTCCCTGCGTGGGTGACAGCACTCTCTGAGAATGCCGTGACAGTGCCTTTGTTCCCTTGAAATAAAAGAAAATCGAGCTACAAAGGGAAACCTCAGGTAGCTTTTAACGGGGCTCAGCTGCCTGGGGCAGAGTGTGTTTAAGCTGGAGGCAGTTGTCAAAGGAGCAGAAAGGGGAGCTGCCTGCAGTCCCCTCCCGCTCCCTACTCAAGGGGGAGCCCCCATGATCACGTTTACTCACGGAAAAGGCTCTTTCAAATAGTGGCAGCGGAGGAAAATCAATGGAAATTGATGGAGAAATGTAAAGCAGCTGTCTGCTGTGTGTGTGTGTGTGCGTGTGTGTGCGTGTGTATGTGTTTGTGTGTGTGTATGTATGTGTATGTGTATGTGTATTCCTGTGTGTTCCTGTGTGTGTGTATGTATGTGTATGTGTGTGTATTCCTGTGTGTGTTCCTGTGTGTGTGTGCACGCGTATGTGTTTGTGTGTTTGTGTGTGTGTATGTATGTGTATGTGTGTATTCCTGTGTGTTCCTGTGCGTGTGTGTGTGCGTGTATGTGTTTGTGTGTTTGTGTGTGTGTATGTATGTGTATGTTTATGTGTGTATTCCTGTGTGTTCCTGTGTGTGTGTGTGT